GGTCGAGGCTGCGGGGGCCGGAAGCGTCCACTGCACTCCAGTCTGGGCGACGGAATGAGACTCCAACTCAAAAAAAAAAAAAAAAAAAAAAAAAAAAGAAATGGGAAGGGGAGGGCAATGTCCAATGAAAGGTTATCTAAGGCCTCTTTCAAGGCTAACAGTCTCTGAATACGGCATGTCTAACTCCAGGTTTCTCCCTTAGCAGAGGAAGTGGGAGGGACAGCTGCTTCTTCAGTTACTATCTCTTTTCTTTCTTTTTTTTTTTGAGTTGGAGTTTCACTCTGTCACCCAGACTGGAGTACAGTGGCCGCTGCCGGCCACCACAGCCTCGACCTGCTGGGCTCCAGCGATCCTTCCACCTCAGCCTTCCAAGTAGCTGGAACTACGGGCGCGCGCGACCACGCCCGGCTAATTTTTGATTTATTGTAGAGATGAGGTCTCGCCAAGTTGCCCAGATGGGTCTCGAACCCTCGGGCTCAGGCAATCCACTCACCTTGGCCTCCCAAAGCGCGGGATTACAGGCTGAGCCACCGAGCCCAGCTCACTTATTATTTTTAAATTGTTGACAATTTGTGACAGAACAAGTACCTTAAGTACAGTGGAATAAATGCTCAAATTCAAGAATATGGATACACAGATCCAGAGTTAGACTCTTCTTTCTTAACAAAAGGGGAGGGCAGGCTTTTCTTATTTGCTGATCTTTAATACCATAATCACCTTATTGTCACGAATTGTGACTCTCCCACGTTTGATTTGGTGAAGCACTTTGGATGTTTAAACTTCATTGTGTGTCGCTTTTGTTAGATTTCGCCTTGTATTGATGCAAAAACCGTTCATCCTGTTCCGTATCAGCATGGCCACCTCCGCGCCAAGATTCTGCGCAGAAAGAGGAAGTTAGAAAAAGGCCAGGAAAGCACTAACAGTGCTGAGGGCAGAGGGGTGGGGTAAGTGGGGGAGGGGAAGGAAGTTTCAGCCAAGAATTCTCAAGTTCCTTTTCTATGCCTGGAGAGAAGTGTTGAACCACTGCTTTCTTTCGGTCATGTAATCACCCCATCCCTGGTGACACATAGATGCAATAAACTGGTGGTACCTCTCTGGAGAGCCATTTGGTTTGAAAACTCTTTATCCCCACCCCCACCCCCGCCCATTGCCAAGATCATATTCCACAGAAACAATCCCCAACGGAGTAGAAGGTGGGAGGGTGAAAAACTGCATAAGGTCATTTCAAGACCCGCTATTTATAATGGTGAAAAACTGAATACGATCCAAATGTTCAATAATGGTAGAGTGTCTAAAAAAAGTACTCTATTGACCAGATGGAATGCTATTTGGGCATCAAAATGGTAAGTATGCAGGCTGTGTTAAATGGAAAGGGCAGATCACAACATGTTATAAACACAAACATTGTAGCTATGAAAACATAAAATATATGTGGACATTCATGTAAAAAAAAGAAAATGTGTATGGCAGATAAAACATTTTAATTGAATTTGGTTTAGCTACTGTGCATGCCATCATATAAACTTTATATCATTTAATCCTTACAACAATGAATCATTGTGTTAATTTCTACACACACAAAAAAACTCCCGCTGGTATTGTAATTTGGATTGTGTATAACAGCATCTTTAAAATGAGATTTCCCCTGAATTGTACCCCACATCTTCAAAATAAAAAATTTAAAAAGATAAAAATAAAAAGTAAAAAAAAGCCGGGCTCAGTGGCTCAGCCTGTAATCCCGCACCTTGGGAGGCTGAGGTGAGTGGATTGCCTGAGCCCGCAGGTTCGTGACCCGCCTGGGCAACTTGGCGAGACCTCATCTCTACAATAAATCAAAAAATTAGCCGGGCGTGGTGGTGCAAGCCTGTAGTTCCAGCTACTTGTAAGGCTGAGGCGGAAGGATCACTGGAGCCCAGCAGGTCGAGGCTTCAATGGCGGGGAGCGACCACTGTACTCCAGTCTGGGCAACAGAGTGAGACTCCGATTCAAAAAAAAGAAAAAGAAAAGAAAAGAAAATAGAACTTCAAAATGAATCTCTGCCATTTACTAGATGTGTGACTTTGGGCTTGTCATTTCAACTAAATTGCTTCCTTCATAAAATGAGGAGGAAGCAGATTAAATGTTAAATCTGAATGTCTTTGAGTTATCAAATTAGTCATAATTTTAGTTTTTACATCTCTGGTGCTCCTGGGAATCACAGATCAGAACGTCTACCATGAAGTGTCCACTAACCTGTTTTGAAAGATATGGTACAGCCGGGTTTGGTGGCTCAGCCTGTAATCCCGCGCTTTGGGAGGCCAAGGTGAGTGAATTGCGTGAGCCCGCGGGTTCGAGACCCGCCTGGGCAACTTGGCGAGACCTCGTCTCTACAATAAATCAAAAATGTGCCGGGCATGGTAGCACACGCTTGTAGTTCCAGCTACTTGGAAGGCTGAGGTGGAAGGATCGCCGAAGCCCAGCAGGTCGAGGTTGCGGTGGCCGGGAGCGGCCACTGCACTCCAGTCTGGGCTACAGAGTGAGATTCCAACTCAAAAAAAAAAAAAAAAAAGAAAGATATGGTACAAAATGCTACCAGAGAAAAAGGTAACTGACTCTCCTATCATAAAGGAATACACAATTCAAAATATTCTATGACTGCCATTCATATTTCCATACTTGTGGAGACCAGACTAAAAGTGCTTTTTTTTACCACACCCAGAGAATTGGCAATGCTTTGGGGTGAGGGGGACATGCTCAAGAAAGAACTAAGTACTATGCACAGATAGTTTAAGTGAAAAATGTCGAAATTCGATGCCTTGGCATCCCTGGAGCAAAGGACAACTGGAACCCATGTTGTTTTTCATTAGCATTTAAATACCTTGCCATCTAAGAGGCATTCTTTCCCCCAAGTACAAGCTGTTCTTCTGAGGTGGGTGCAGGAGTGTGTTTAGCCGTGTGATCTGGGTTAACCCCTCCTAAACTTGACATTCTTCAAGGCCCATGTGCCTCCCTCTTGGCCATGAACTGCTGAGGCTATGGTCTTCTGACTCAGATTCTCTTTAGATGCTGTTTCAGCTTTCGCCTTCCTCTAAAGAAAGGTTTTCTCTTCCTGGAAGATCTATCTTCCAATAAGGCTGTTTCCATTTGAAAGAAATGAGTGAAGAGTTCAAGCATCTTAGTGGCTGCAATCTGCTTAGACTGTATTTGCTCCTGCCTTCTGGCTTCCCCCATGAGGAGACGTGCCTGGGGGAGGGAGTGAATGGGTCTGCGACTACATAACGTGTTTTGTCACCACCTTGAGGGAATAGACCCTACCTTGTCTGCTTCTGAAGCAGGCCTTCTCCTCCCCAACTTCTGAGGGAAGTGGGGGAAGGAAGGGGTGGGGCGAGAACACAAAGGGTACTGACATTCTGTAAAGCTCCAGTATTCTGGTCTTTAAAAAGATTTCAATTATATGAATGACTCCTGTGTTTATTTCCCCCCCAAACAAGCCTCTTTGTTAGTTACACACAATTATTATTCTTTGCCTAAAATCTTGATCTCTTGTTTCTAACTACAAACCCCTTGGCCAGCATCTGGATTGCAAAATGCTTGTTCTCTTTACCAAATCACCTGATGAAACATCCCAAACTCTCTGTCCACAAACAAGGACATTTAGGGGCAAAGTGTGGGGGATGGGGAAGAAAAAACTTTCCAGTAACTCTTGAGTTAGTATTAGGAAGCGTGGAATTATCTACTCCAATCTGAGCTGTGGTATATTATTATTAATAGGGTTAGCATTTTAAGGGATAATTCTACTGACATCATAGCATTGTTATAAAGAATAAGTGAGACAATGTGAATAAAGTGTACTCAGTGCCTGGCATGTAGTAAGTACCTCCAAGCTGTTAGCTAATATTATTACTACTAACCACTTTCTGTTGAACCTGTACTGGACATTGGGTACTGTATGTGATCCTTTATGTCAACTGACTTGAATATCAATAAAACAGTTGCAAGCAATTGTCATTATCCCCATTTCACAGATGAGAAAATTGAGGCTTAAGGTCACATAGTGCTTAAGTGGCAGAACCAGGCCCCAGGCCCAGATGTAAGTTCCAAAGTTCACTCTTCGCACCACACTGCAGTGGATAAAGGACACATTCGCGGGCTTTGCGGGGGCTTTGCAAGTTGGTCAGTTGGTTACTCTCCTCATCAGTCTGTTACTAAAATTTGAATGCTTATATAATGACAGCATTTCTCCCTGAACCAATTTTCTTCAAATGTCATTTCCTCCTTCTATAAACAGACTGAACACATCCCTGACTCAGATTTGAACAAAGTCATTTCACATTTCAGATTTTCTTTTCCCTGCAGTCAGCCCTATGGCAATTCCACAGGCCCAAGGCCAAATTCCAGCTCATAGTGGAGGATGTGTGAATACCATAGGCTAAGAAAATAGCATGAGACCAACTTACAGAGGTCCCCCAGTGCTATCTCACCCGACTATTTCCCAGCAGGCTGTGGATTAAGATATAAATGAAACATATGGAGATGGAAAAAAGCATATGTCAGACATGCTGTGGCCCGTGTTCCTGTCAAGCGCACACACTGGGTCATTTTTAATCATGAAAACACCACCACGCAGACTACCCAAATATTTCTACAGAACCAAAATTGAAGTCAGTGCTTTGTTTCTCATGCCTTCCTTCTTTAATTAGCCTCATCTGCGGTATCCCAAGATTGGGCACATACACCCCTCCTCCGCCAGAAAAAGAAGACAGAGAGAAAACAACTAGTTAGTTCCAAAAGACTAAACAGTTCCTCCTGGGTATATTTCTTTT